CTTAAGGGTGATGAACCCCTAAGGGTGAAATTCTGAGGGCAAAATCCTGGGGGAAAAATCCTGGGGTTGAACTCCTGGCAAGTTATGTCAAGGTGGCACTCCACCAGGATAAGTCAAAAAGTAAGTTGAAAAAGTAAAATAAATAACTTTGAGGACATTTTTTAATTAAAACTGCTGGTTTAGTAACATACCTTTCTACAGCAAGCTGACTGCCCAACTGCTAGAGATCTGCTTGTGAACAAGAGTTGATGACAATAGGCAGGGATTTTATCCACATATCTTAACAACTCTTTTTTCATTGGGTTTTCTTCTGCCTGGAAACCAATAGAAACATTGTAAGTCCAGATCCCTTAATCGATGGGCAACTTCAGAAAAACTTTTTGAAATGTTTGTCATAATTTCTTTGATAACAATTGTTGAGACCAGCAGTTCTTTTAAATACCTTTGAGGCATATTTTCTTGCAACTCTGTGAAGTGCCTTGCCTGCATCTGCAAAATTCTGTGTAGACAAAATATAAAGATCACAAATTTAAAATAAATCTTCTTTCTATTAGTAGTTTTCCTAATGGGTTGAAATATCAAACATGCAAATTCTCTGTAAGTTTGATATCTAAAAATGTTTTTCATTTTGGGTCATTTACTAAGCCCCACCCCCTAAATTTATTTCAGGACAATTTTGCCGCAGTCTCTGTCCACAAAGTAAAGGTTGCTAAATGAAAACAAATTCTCAAAAATACAAATATTCCTGGACAAAGAATCCAGTAATAATTTTTCTTTTTGCAATTGAGATGGCATTTCAATGATTTCTCTTTAAAGAAAACAGATCCAAATTCACTTTTTATCTGAGAAGTGGTAGCAAACTATAGAAAAAGAGCAGGTGTATTTGTCTTGGAAGACTCTAAGATTATACAGGACATTAAGCACGTACGACTAAACATAACTTGGCGCATTACATCATACAAAACATATGTCCAAATAATTCAATTTACTCACTTGGGAAGCTTCAAATAGATCCTCTGTGGTTTTAAGAGATCCCTCTCCCCTGTAAGTTAAAGGAATCTGCTGATTAGCACAAGCTCTCAATTAAGAACTCATCTCTGTTTCTTTAACTTACATTTAATTACTTCTGCTGGCTTGTCTTTCTCCCCTTTGCCATGAATAGTGCAGAAAAAATTCCATGGTCAGTTTTGGAAGAAGCTGGACTAGTTAGGAGGGCTTGATAAGCCCATCAGATTTTGGGCCATCTAAGATGTTTCATACAAAAAAACAGCAAATTCACTTGACTTCTTTAAATGGGCATGTATGGCAGAAAGAAAGTTAAACCCTTTAACTCCCAAGATCTCATTATTAATTCTTCTTACTGTCTGCCATACAGTTCATATGAGGTTAGTTTGGAGAATTTGGTATTGGATCAACTAGGTATCCCTTAACTGATATCTTGTCTGCTTGATATTGTATTGATAATGTAAGGAAAAATTCTCCTCAGGTCACTAGTGGACTTCAAGGGTTAAAGCAGTGACCACATCTGCAACTAGAAATTGTGGCAAACCTATTTTTCTTAATGTTACATGAGAGACAAAGAGTCATACCTTGTAAAGAGATACATTTCACTGACCATCTCTGACATCTCTCTTGCTCTAATGACTATTTCGTTATCTGTGTCTTCAAAGTAGTGCAGCTCAAGTTGTGATGTCATTAGGTTAACATTAGTAATAAGTTTGCCAAGCTTCTCTTGTTCCTGAGTAAAAAAAAATTACTTTCTTACTCTTTCTGAACCTCTTTTTCTATTGTTTTAAGTCTTTATCAATAGTCATCAGCTGCCTGTATACAAAGGGTGCATCTGGGGAGGGGGAATGAGGTGTTACTCTACGGCTCATATCCCCCCTATCGTGGAAAAAAAAATTAAAAGAAGCTGTAATATAATAAAACAGCTCAGCATCCACCTGAATCCTGGCAAGAAACTAGTGTAGGAGTATGTGAGGCCTGGTAGAAGATTAAGGTGGGTCCCGCCACCCATTCAGGCCTGTGAATATTTTTATGGCATGACTGAAACCAAAATTTCTTTCAGCGAAAGGAGGTCAAAATCCAGCTCAACAGGCTATTTTTTTTCATTTTTGATTGAAACACACTAAATTAATTCCACATGTCTGTGAGGGTATGAACGTTTGGAACCCCTGTCAAAACTCCCTGGATCTGCCCATGCATATAAAGGCCCCAGTAGATGTGGCACAGAAAAATGAATTATGAATATCATCTTTCCCATGGTTATTCCATGTTAGAGCTCTCCCATTAAATTTACCTGTGAATCAACCACTGCTTTCTCAGGTTCCTCATTTTCTTCAACTGAAGCACTGCTACTTCTTCTACTGGACGACTTTTGCTGTCAAATGTTACAAGATATTTTAGCATGAAGCCTGGTATGATTCGTTCAATTATATCTTATACCAACCAATCACAATAAACTTCAGGATACCTTAAAACCAACAACTGTTGCAGGATTGTTGTTAACTTTTCTGATAACTTGAGGAAACATCCAAACAGCGATACTACGTCAGAGGTGTAAATCAAGTGAGGCCAGGTATGCTACAATAATTTAGTTTTAGTTTTCATTATCATAGCATATCTGGACTCACTTGATTTACACGTCTGACCCTTAGTGACACTGTAAGGAGAATTACTAATGAGATCTTGGAGATTAACCTTTTAACTCCCATGAGTGACCAAGACAGAATTTCTCCTTACAATTTCAATACAATATCAAGCAGACAAGTGATGAGAATAAAGACAAATATCAGTTAGGGGATTATAAGTTGATCCAATACCAAATTCTCCAAACTAACATCACAGGAACTGTATGGTAGACAGTAAGGAGAATTACTGATGGGATCTTGGGAGTGAAAGGGTTAAAGGTTAAGGAAGAGCAAGGGGCATAACCAGCATAAACAAAGCTTAAAAACCAAAACTGATTAGGGCTGCTTATAACGATTGTTTTCAAACAATTGTTTACTTTCATGGTTACTTTCATGATACAACTCTGCACATCAAAATACTGGTAAAGAGACCTCCCTTCAAATGCTGAATAACTGTAGAACACTAAAAGTGTTTGTGAAATCAAATCAAAGTCCATCTTACCAGCAGTTGCTCTACACGAGATTCACTTGTTTTCCTTAGCCCCTGACTTTCTTCTTCTGCCACAACATCTAAAGTAAAAGCAACACTGCCCTTAACATAAAATAACATGAAGAAACCCAAGTGTTACAAGATATCCTCCAACATGACACAAGTTTCTCAGTTATCCCTTAACACCATCACATCAGTGTGCATTTTCTTCATATTGTTCTCCTTATATTTCCCACAATGCTGACAGGGAGAATTTGTTTAATGATAAAAAGCCTCTTTAGCTGGGAATTACTTCCTTCATTCTCCAGGCCTTAATGTTTGATTCAGGGGTGAGGTAAGGTTGGAGGAGAAATTAGATGCTAGTCACTTTTAGTGGTTAAAGGAATAGTCTCCCATTGACAAATCCAATCAGGTTTCCATTATGTTTTGTAAGACAATATGCTTCAACATAAGTTTCTTCATAATAGGAAGATAACATACTCAACACTGTTGCACCAGTATCTTAGAGGTCATGAGTTCAACTCCTATACAGGCCTGAATGTTTTTCAGCTCAGTATGTCACTGCTGCTCAATAAGTAGTGTTCATTACTGTGAAGATCACTGTCATATTCAGACTTGATAGTGATGCAAATATTGCATTGTAATCTAATGTTCTCCAGTTTTTGTCTTAAATGAAAATCATACATGAACTGTGAAATTAATTCTCAGATCAAATTTACTAGTTGCAAACATTAACATTGTACCTACAGTAAAACAGTCCTTCACTGGTCCTTGAGATATTCAAGGGTGAAGGGCCCAATGGAAGAGGCAAGCAATGAAGTGGAAACCACAAAGGCAGTATGGAAAGGAGTGACAACTGACCCCACCCCACCCCACCCCTCTTCTCTCTTCCCATCTCTCCTAATGTTCCCCATCATGAAAAGACCAGACACAACTAACAAAAGTGCCTGATGCAATAAAAGGACATCAAACATTTAAAACAATTAAATTTATTTTCATTTCTTGTAAAGCTTCCTAAAAAGTTCATTTTGACTAAAAGTTACAATAGATCTACCAAAAGTATATATAGGAAGATGATTATTTTTTATCCCTACCCAAAATTTGAAAAATGTTAGAACTCTCTAAAATTGAAGCTTTAACAAATAATAAGACAGAATTACAATGATATCTGATTGGCAAATGAATCTTTTTTAAAGGATTTCATAAACAAATTTCAGATATAAGTATAGAACTGTCACAAATGTGAGAATTTTTAAGAAAATTATCATACGCTGCATGCCTACCAATTGAAAAATTAATTAGCATGTATACTCTAGAAGAAATCTGTTTTTGAAACTACCATTCCTCTAGATTTGAAAGAAAAATTAAAAACATTTTGCAAGTTGGGTATCAAACCATACCAAATAAAAGAAAGACATCAAATATTAGGGATACATGGAATAGAAAAAGATGAAATTTGGAATTGTTGGATACCATACTTGAAGTTTTTCTTCCCAATAAATGATGAAAATGAGCAAAATTTAAGATTTAGCAACCACAGTCAGTCAGTGGATGAGGCATATCTATCTCCCACAAAACTGACGCACAGGATTATGATACTCTTTTTCTTCTCCTTACTTTCTTTCTTAGTAAAACATGAAAATTGTAATGAGAAACTAGGCTTTCATCTCTCACATGTCAAGGGTGGGTGGAGGTAGCCATGGAATTAACAACAGACAAATAAAGCACTACTATTGCTAAGCTTAATTTTTTATGACATTAAAATGTCCTTTTTTGCACCTTGCGCCAGGAAAGTGTGGCATTAAAAAAAATAAAACAAAAAGAAACTTGTCAATGAATATATTTTCATTCTTTTATCAAAAAAAAATTTTTTTAAACCATGAAATATTCATATTGATATAAATTAACCATATTCATTAAAAATAGTTATTTTCCTCTTTTGTATTTAGTAAAAGTAATTTTCAGGGAACACAGAATTATAACAGTAGCAATGCCTACAAGATATATCAAACAACAGTCAGCAGACAGTTGTCCTTTTCAGCAGCCGTTAAAGAGTGGCATAAACAGCATTGTAGGAACTTCTTTTATGGCGGCTGCCAGGACTTCCTGAAAAAATTAAACGACTTGATTAATGACATAATCATGTATTATTCATTTTTTGAAATTATATCTATAAGAATAATAACTTAATAATCCATTTATGCCATGGCTACGAAGTGTTTTATCAGTATAGGGTCAATGCTATCTGATGCCCACCCAAATAGTGACTGTTTTTAATTAAAAGCAATTTTTGATTGAGTGTCAAAAGTAAGCAGAGATTGTTTTGCGTTTGTTTAACTCCACTCTGTGATTGGTCCAAAACACTAATGCCACTCTCTCAACCAATCAAATGCAAAGCTGAAACCAATCATGACTCTACTGCACACCTTTTCCTGCACTTTAGGCAGTTTGCTCAGTTTTACTATGAATTCTCAATTGCTCTGCAAAGTTACTTTCTTGTCTTCTGGTTGGTCAGTGATTACTTTGGGTTTGGTTTTATGCCACTCAATCAAGAAGCGCTCTTTGACACAGCCAGCATATTTGAGTCCTCAAACTCAGTTGTACAACCCTGCCTTATACACATGTACCCAGTGTGCACACTGTTGATTTAATCCTTTAATCATCAAGATCTCATTAGTAATTCTCCTTACTGTCTGCCAAATGATTCTTATTATGTTAGTTTGGAGAATTTGGTATCAGATCAATTAGTAATCCCATAATTAATATTTTTCTTTA